TCAACCTTGATATCCCCTGAGACTATGGTATATTATTGTTTTCCAACAGTTGGAAATAAAATTATCTTGGGGATAATCTAACTTGCACAATATCACTATATGACCCTAGGAAGCCTTGCGAGCTCTCTTTACAGATGCCCTATGTGAGTGGTCTTGTAGATTGATCATATAAGGCTGCAAAAAAGCAGGTGTGAATGGAGCAGATATAACGTGGAGGAGGCTGAATCTGGCTGCTGCCTGCTTCATAAAAGGGAACTGTCCCAATCAATAATAGCTAAATGGTCAGACATGCCACCTTCATGCTCCTGAACTTATTTCTACAAATCATTAAGTCCAATGTTTGTTACAAATTGACTCACAGACTTTATTCACAATTGTAGGGTTTATTAGGGAAATAGGCTGGGGAGTAGGAGAGGCAAGGAATATCACACAATGCAAGTCCAGTTTTAGTCCAGCAGACAATTAGTGAAAGTCCAGGTTCAGTTCTGCAGCATAAATTCACCTCTAGTTTCCTCAATCAGCCAGCAAATTTTATCTCATAGTGGTTACAAGTCAGCTTTTCTTTCAATCATCCAGCAAGCAAAACCTTTAACTATGGTTCTATCTCTAGGATTCCTCTGGTTACACCTTGCCACAGTCTCTTCACAGTAGTGCCACGATCTCTTCACCCATTCTCCACCACTATTTTTCACAGTGTGGAAAGTGCTCTTTTATATTGGTCCCAAAGCAGTTGATGATTTGCAAGACCAGTGTCTGTACTTAAGATAGCTGGAGACCATGACTTGAACACGGGCTAATGCAATCGATAGAAAATCCAATTTTCAAGGTTTCTGACACCACAAGCAGTTCTAAGACAAGTGATTATAGGGAGTGTATTTCATCTGTGCATAGGGAAGCACTTTCTGAGCACACAGCAATCCAAAGAAAATGGATTGTCTTAATCAATAATTCTCCATCAGTAAAATATTCAAATATAAGCTAGAAAACTAGGATATTCTCTTAAACCTAAAATCATCTTAATATCATTTTAAATGGGAATTTAAGATGGTTGGACTAAATGATGTTCTTTTTGTTTTCCATGTTGAGATTTTCTGAGATCACTGATATCTCCTGGATTTGACTTTGAGTATTGTACTATGTTGGAAATAATTTCTAACCAGTTTTATCCAATGTTTAACATATGGTGCTGTGAGGAACTGAGGAAATACGGTTTGGGCAATATCTATATATACAGTACACTCTTTCCGTCCCTTCCCCTTATTTTCACTGTTTTTTCCTTATTTTTGGCATGTAAAGCTAAGATTGTCCTGGAAAAAGAATGTGTTTTGGGGATTGTGGAGAAGGAAGGAAGGGTATCATCTTAACTGGTTGTGATATTGACCTAGATAAAGGAATGACAAATAAAAAGTTAAGCTGTCCATACAGTACTCATTGTTCTATGGGCAGAGTTAAATGGCTGAAAAAATGAAAAATAGCATGAAAAGTGTGTGCAAGCACAACCAGGTGCCGTGTGGCTAGTGAGCACACAGAGAGGCCCAACCTGTGGCTGGCTCTGTGTTCTAATTTTAGGAAGAAATATTTTTACCTCCTCTGCTGAGAAATCATTAACTTTCCATTTCTTTCTAGAAGAAGTGAGAGCTTGGTGTCAATGTCAATAATCAGAATGCGCAGCTTGGACCACTCAGTGTTCCAGTCTCCAGTGGGGCCCAGTAGAGGCCACAGCATCAATATCCTTCTGAGGGACAATAGATCTTGTTCATTCTGACAGATATGTTGTTGTTGTTGTTGTTGTTGTGAAATGTAGAATCAGAATCCACCCATAGCAGACCCTCTGGCAGGTTTTCAGAGGCAGTTAATCTCATGGTGGGAGATTGCCCATCCTTCCACAGAGTAGCTGGAGGCCTTGAACCACATGACTTTGGGATTGCAGCGCAGGTTCTTGTCACTAGGCCACCAGTCAGGACTTACCTGGTTATTAAAAAAAAAAACAAACTAGAGAAAAAGCTCAGGGAGTGATCCTCATTTTCTACATAGCGTTCAGGTCTCATTGTGACAAGAATTCCCATCTTGGAATGCCCATCATACTTTTAGAACTGGAAAACACCTTAAGAATTAGAGCTTTTGTTCATCCTTTGTCTTCATCCAAGTCACAGCGGAAGCACCTTCAGGACTCTGAGGATCATGCATTTAAACTGAGCCAAGCAGGAGAGGGTTTGTCGTCTCAGAGTTCTGTCTAGGACACCCTCTAGTTATCACCCCCACACACACACACTCCCCCCACCCCCGACCGACCGTGAACTTTTCTAGATGAAGACTCTTGTCCCAGGCATGATTCTCTGCATGGCCCATTTAGCAGAAGCTGCTGGAGGCGGGTACCTGCTATAAGAACTGACAGGCGACCATGTAGGAAAGGCTGTGGTGGTTGTGGCTTTGATAACTGGAAGGAAATACATTACCTTCTGGTTTCTTGCTAAGGCAAGGTCAGGACTGGGTTCAGGGTCAGGCGGGGCTTTTGATGTGGGGTGCAGACCCTGGAGGGACAGAAGCCAGGGGATTTCTGCAGAGTTAAGCTCCACCCCTCTGCTTCTCTGCAGTTCGGTGGGTATTTCTAAAGTAGGATGAGAAGGGTGTGATTCTGAGGACAACTCAAGAAAAGCAGTGGGATGTTCTATGTACTCAGAACATGAATTGGAGGGTGTGAGGTGGGTATGACGTGGCACGGTGGGAGGGGGCTGTGGTGAAGCTGGTTTTTCCACTTGCCCTCTCCTTTACCTTGCCTTTGCCCCACTTTGCATGCACAACATACACTTGGACCTGCAGGCTAGTCTAGGATAACCTTGAGACCACCCAGTAGTGAAAAGTTGCGTGGGTGAAGAGAGATGCATCTGTTAATGGGGTTTTCCTGGATGGGAGGGGTTGGCTCACAGAAAGAGGAGCCTGACGGAGCAAGACCTGCCCTCCTCTGACTTGAGATCCTTGGAAGGGAAAGTGTCATGAAGTTCTTTCTACCTGACCTGGGGATTGTTCTATTTGTCCCTCCCTGATCTAGTAGAAGTGAGGTATGTCTAGCCCTGTTAAATGCATTGAATCAGCTCTGACTCAGAGAAACGCTGTATATAACTTTCCCCTGGGTTTCCTAGGCTACAATCTTTACAAAAGCAAATTGCCAGGCTTTTTTTTCTCCCCAAAGTGAAACTGGGGGTTAAAATGGTTAACCTTTTAGTGAGTAACCGAGTGCTTGACCATTGCTCTACCTGGCTCCTAGGCGGGGCTTAGGGAGGAGGAAATGATTGACGGGTGCAGCGGAGTGGAGACAGGATCTGAGCTGCCCCCGGCCCCAAAGGTATCAACCTCTCCGTGCCTTCGTTCTTCTTCCTTAAAATAGGGACCTCATGAGATCGTTGTGAAGATTAAGTGAGTGTCTTGTGAAGAGCGTGAAGCAAGGCCAGGTATAGACCAGTGTGTGTCTGCTCTGATGATTATCACCAAAAATGAGAGGAAGAGCAAGAGGCAGAGTTGAGACCTGACACCTCCAGTTGCCTCACTGGGGAACCCTGGACCAGTCATCCACATTGCTCTATACTTTGATTTTTCCATTTGTAAAATGGGACTGCTTTCCCCCTCCTAAGACTTTTCTACAGGTTTTGTTTTCAACCTTTTTCAGTTCAAGGGTGGTTGTCTACCTGCATTTTATCTCTGACCTTTGAGCGCCTTAGGGGTTGAGGACAAGAACACAATGGTCTTTTCACTCCCCACTTTGCCCTCACTGGGGGCCTCTCTGCAGACCAGGCAGGGAGCTGTGAGGTAGAATCCAGAAGAGAGTGGTCAGCAGCTAGAGAGACCTTGGGCAGAACAAGCAGAGGAGCCAAAAGGGAACTTAGCATGACACTAAATGGCAACTTACATGTGCCTAGCAGATATGCCGCCCTTAGTCAGCCTTGTTCAGGTCATCTGTGCTCAGCATCAAGTTCTATTTGGGGGTCCATGAGGGGGTGGCAGATCGATTTTGTAGGCTGGCAATTCTTGTCTGAAGCTCTTTCTTCCTCGTCAGACCACTAAAAGTTAGAGGGCTGTGCGGAAACAACAACAAAAAAATCCCAGGGGTCTGGACCAGCTTCATCGGGTTTGTTTTAAAGGCCGTTGCCAGGGTTCAGAGTCAGGCACCTGCATGCCTGCTTATCTCCTCAGTCATCTCACTGTGGGTGTCAGTGAAGGGAGAAAGAGTGTGTGTGCGCACATGGAGACCTGAGTCCGTGGATTCACCTTGGTAACCCATCATGCCACTAAGATCCAGAGGCCGGACGCCAGAGTTAGTCCTACTCCAACCTTTCTTGAGGCCGGGGGTGTTGAGCACGTCTGGAGCAGAGCTAAAAGTGGCAGAAAACATCCTGTTTGAAAGCCAAGAGTTGCTGTATTTAACCCCTGCAGCACCTTCTCCGCCTACACCCAGTCTCCACAGACAGGAGATCCCAGACACTTGTCTTTGAAGCTGTCCCAAGATCCCGAGGGCCCTGGGCTACCATCCCAGCTGCCTCATTCCCTGCTTTCCTGAGGCTGAGAGACTTTCTCACCTCAGAGGAGAGAGTACAGTCTCCTTCAACTCTCAGCAGCCTGCCAGGCTCTGCTTCCTCAAGATCCCTAAACTACGGGTCATCAGATCCTCCTCATCAGACCCTCTACTGTGAGAGGAAAAGGAGACATTAGAGCAGAGGCCACCTCTGTTTGCCCACAGGCTCACCCACTGCTTCTTGCTGCTTCTGCCACAAGGGAGGGCCTTTCCTGCCAGCACTGGGCTCTGCCCCCTCACCCCTACTGGAGGTGACATGGCATTCTAGTAAATCACTCTGGGGAGTTTTCAGTCCCTGGTTTGGGGCCCTGGAAAGAGGACTATGAGGCTAGGGCTTTGCTTTAAATAACACTTTTGTCTTTCTTCCTTTCAGAATCATTTTGGTTGGAGCATCTGTGAGACCTCATAGAAGGGTCCTCAGACTTGACACCTGCCCCCTGCTCCCTCAGGTAGTGCCACCTTATGCGTTACAACTATGTATGTCCAGGGGTGAAGGGGAGTCATAGGAAGGTGGTGGGCAGGGAGGATGAGAACAGAACCCGGAGCTTGTGAATGCGGGTCCTGTGTCAGCAGAATCATGAGACCAGGAGCCATTCAGAGAGGGGTGGGAGTGCAGAAAGAGGATCAGACAGGGACTGGCTGCCTCCAGATTAGGACCCCAAGGGTGTCCAAAAGGTATGTCCTCTGAGGGATGGGTGCTCAGGGCTTTCTATCAGTCCCCATCCTCTCCTTCTCTCCCCTGCCCTCAGCAGCCTGTCCTGTGATATGTAAGATGTCAGACTCTCAGGTCCTCTCTCACCTCTAAACTTTGGTCCCAGGGTGGAGCTCCAGGGCAGCTGCTAATTACTTCAAGTGAGGCTGGGTCTTCTTGTAACTCCCAGAATGGTCCTTGTTTGCTGTGGAGCACTGGCTGAGGACTCAGACTTCCATTGCTGTTCCACTCAGCCCACCCAAACCCCACCCTCTCCAACCCCCCACCCTTCACCATCCAGGAGACATCTTGAAGACAATACTTTGTCTATTGTAAACCTCATCATTGCCATGCTGTTCCAATACTCTTGCATCATGATATCTCCATTTATATATGTGTGATGTCGAAAACTTGTTGAAATATTTGTCACATTTTCTTCCTCATCTGTATTTGATTTCTTTTTCTTTCTTTTTTTTTTTTACCAAATCCACTGGATGCTGGAGGTTTAGCATACCCAGACTATATTATGACCACTGAGAACTGTAATATCTTGGCCAACCAAAGGTTAGGCCACAAGCATCTTATATAGTTTCTTCAATAATTCTAATTATTTTATAAGCTTCTGGAATTCCTGCCCTTATCTTGAATGGGTGCTATGTTGTTCTAGAAGCCCAAGGGGAGTTTGCCCTTGAGATGGAGCAATGCTGACAGAACTACGGCACTTTTTATTTTATTTCTAGGTACTTTGAAATTATATGTTTCACATGAACTGAAAGACTATCAAACAAACAGTGTACTTTAGTAATAATAAATAATAAAGCTCTAGGGGCATAGTGCATTATGTGTTGCACTGCAAACAAGAAGTCAGCGGTTCAAATCCCCCAGTTACTCCACTGGAGAAAGATAGGCCATCGCCACCCATGAAGATTTACAGTCTCAACAGTCTCATGGAGGGAGACTATGAGTCAGAAACAACTCGAGCCAAATTATTTTTTTATTCTTATTAAGAGATCTTGGTGGTGCCGTTAGTTTAGTGTTGGTCTGCTAACTAAAATAGCAGCAGTTCAAAATCACCAGCTACTGTGTGAAAAATGAGGAAATCTTCTGTTAAGATTTACAGGCTCAGGAACCAGACGAAGGCCCACCATGAGCGTGAATTTGCTCAATAGAAGATTGCTCCAAACCTAATGCCTCTGCATTCTCCTCCTCATCTCATGCCCGAAAAGTCTCTGTCTAATATATATTTACATATATAGTGGTAGTGTTGTTGTTGATTGCCATCAAGTCAAACATGACTCATAGTGACCTTATGAACAAAAGACCTGAAGCTTTTCTATAACTAGCATCATTTCTCAAAGTTCATAGAGTTTCCAGAGGCATATTGAGAAGAATGGGAATCTCAGAATACTTAATTGTGCTCATGGGAAACATACCTAGACCAAGAAACTATTGTCTGAACAGAACAAGAGAATATTGCATAATTTAAAATCAGGAAAGGTATGTGTCAGGGTTGTATCCTCTCTCCGTACCTATTCAATCAGTATGCTTAGTAAATCATTTTAGAATCTGGATGCTCTGAAGAAGAATACAGCATCAGGATTGGAGGAGGACTCATCAACAACCTGCAAATGGCATAACTTCACTGAAAATGAAGAGAACTGGAAACACTTGCTGTGGAAGATCAAAGACTACAGCCTTCGATAGGAATCTCAACCAAGGGATTTTGTTTCCATCAAGGAAACAAAACTCCTCACCAATGGACCAATAGGCAACATCATAATAGATGGAGAAATGGTTGAAGTTGTCAATGATTAGATCTTACTTGGATTTACAGTCCACACTGAGAGCAACAATGTCAGTTTAAAGGCTAAGGCACACCTGATCTAAGCTCTGTTCTTTTCAGTTGGACAGCAAATAAGGATGACAGGAGAGGAATTTATTTCTTTGAACTGTGGTGGTGGAGAAGAGAGTACTGAGTAGCCTATGGCTTGCCAAAAGAACAAGTCTGTCTTGGAGCCAGTGTGACCACAGTGCAGGTCCCTAGAAGCAAGGATGGTGAAATTCAGTCTCATGTACTTTGGACGTGTTTTTAGGAGGGACTAGTCCTTGGAAAAAGACATGCTGAGAAATGTAGAGGTTCAGAGAAAGAGAGGAAGATCCTTAACAAGATAATTGACACAGTGACTAACAATGAGCCTGAGTATAATGAGGACTGTCAGAGTGACACAGGATAGGACACGGTTCTACTGTTCATAGGGTCTCTATGTATTATAGTCAGCTTGATGGCACCTAGCAGCAATAATAACAACAATCCCTCTGGAATTGGCAATGTATATCTTTATTCATCTGCCCCACTTCCTTCTCTTCGTAAGAAGCTCTTTGTGAATTTTTTTTAAAAAGAATTTTCATTATGAAATGTAATATTGCTAGAGAGTCTTTCTGATTTGGACTTCATTTGTTAAAGGAGGATAATAACATCTACCTCACAGAAATGATTTGAAGATGAAATGAAATTATGTTTATAAGTATTTTAAACCTAAGCTTAGAGATCAGAGATCATAGACCTAATCATAAAAAAGTAACTTGGAGCCTCCTGAGGCCCCCAGAACCTTTCCTCTCATCTAGAGAGGCCAGAAATGGTTCACTGGGCTGATGTGGGCTGCTTGTCCCCTCCTAGCCTGCTTTCTCTCTTCTTCTTCTTCTTCAGCGCTGGAGCTGTTTAAACCTGTACAACCCTTGTGGAAACTTAGATAAAAATAAAAAGGCAACAGAGTCTGATACCATTTTCAAGAGACCTGAGGTGTCCCCAAAGCAGCTAGAGTGTGTGTGCAGTCAAGGTCAGAGGCCCCAGGTGAAAACAAGGACCCAATTTCCCTAATGGACATGGGAAGAGACAGCCAGGAGCTTCCTGGGAAGGACTTCCCAGGGCTGTTACATTTTGTTCTTTCTCTTTTCTTGAAATGTGAAATCAATCTGTAGATGACAATGTGTGTTTATGAAAATTACCCAGATTCACAAAAAATAAGATTAGAAAATATTGTATAAAGTGTATTACTCAGAAAGACTTACAAAACAATTTTAAAATGTATTTTGGGGTAGAAAGGTATCTAGTAAAACATGTATTGGGATCTAAGGGGGAAAGGGGCGAGAGCAGAGGGGTGAGGATGGGTAGGGGCAACATCACAGAGTTGCACAATTTGGTGGGCGGAGGGAGGGAGGGAGGGCATAAAGGAAATGGGAAAGATCCCGCGTGACCCTGAAAAGACAGGATATTAGTGGGCATAGTCCAATGATGATTCATTCTATAAAACATAATGAATGGAAATGATTGTATGAAACCACATGTGAATGAAGAATTAAGTGAAATACAATGTATATGAAATTTATAAGCAAACCAATT